CTATTTTTTTTACATGTTTACAAATGCATTTAGCCCCAGATATGTCCACTACGACTGTGTGAAGCTTTTTTTTTTCACCCACAACAGCATCTTTTATATCTGAAAATAGTCTAAAAAGGAAATGACAGCACACTGAGTTTGTGCACAATTGTCCACACCAGAGCAGCACAGAGGAATTATCTGAATCTTAAAAGTGTCAAAGCTCAAAGAACTTGACTTTTTTATGTCTGAGTTACCACAGTTTCTAATTCCAGTGTCCAGCTCTGCCCCACAAAGCTTTGCCCGACATTTTTCTGGGTTTCAGTGTTGTCTTTGTGTCTCCCCAAAAATGTAAATTTCACATATTTGACAGTGCATCTCAAATACATGATCTGGATTTGAAAACAAAAATGTAACATCATACATCTGTAGACGGAGCTAAATAGCAAAAATGTCTGGTGTTACTTTTAACAAGGCTCTATGCTACGCATATTTACACAAATTGATTTCAAATATCAAATAACAGTTTTCATCCTCTACCATAAAGGTAAAATTCCATCCAGGCCATTTTAAGGCATCTTTCTCTCAAGTTTGATGGAAATTTGAATTAAACTGTTCATTTCTAGATAAAATAGCTGCAGAAATCAGAAAAATCTTAAATGTTCTTACAAATAGTGACCCTGCAAATCTCTGGAATCTATATTTTCTATAGTTCTCACACTCTCAGGTTTATGGGATTGACTTTTAAATGAAGCATCAGCATATTGATGAATGTGTATTAAATTGAGCTGCAGTCACTGGAAGCAAAACCCTCATTTGATCACATGGCTATAGAGCAGCTGTAGCTTTCTAGCTGACATTTGAAGACCTCCTTGATACACTTCTGTTTCGTTAAAGCCACTCAGATGGAAAATTTGCCATTTTAAGAGTGCAGGCTGCAGACTTAGGCGCTGTTTTGAGACATGGAAGTGGAGAGTGGAAGGATGAACAGATGAACAGATGAACAGATGACCTGCAGGTGTTTCTGTCATCCAGTGAGTCAGAAAGTGGAAACTCAGAAACCCCAGGTCCTCCCACAGAAAACCCAGTCTGGGTGAAGGATTTTTCCCCTCAAGAGTCGACTGCTGTGGACGTTAATGTGATGGTGGACCACAGTGGTCCCCGGCTTTGTCCTTCCAAAATGTAGGCTTTAGACCCTTAATGCTAAAAGTAGAAAGCAATCAATGTCTGAGCTGCAAAGTACAGTAAAAGTCAAGTCTTGTGGTACTTTTGCTACCATTAAAAAGGGAAAGTTTCCACATTTGTGTAAGAAGAAACAGAAGAAAAAAAGAAGAAACAGTTCAAATTGAACACTTACAACTAGCTCAGGCTAAACCTATTGTACCCATTTAAAAATGGTACAATACCATGATGCACATTTTGTTTATGCATTCAGCATAATTCCTGAACAATAGCTCTAAGAGGCTTAAGGCAACATTAGCAAACACAAGATGTGTACATGCCTACTTAAGGGTTCATGAAAAGTGGTGAAACTGTGCAGGTGAAACTGACTAATCACCTCGATGAAGGTTTTAATTAGCTCGAATTGTAAATAAAAAAACATGTTTACTCAGTGGTGCAGTAATAATTACGCTCTATTTTTAGAGTATCAGCATAATTACTCACTGGTCTGTTGTCTTATGTGTGGATGGACACAACAACTGTTGTCCAGACATCTGATCGGGTTGTTGACCGACAACATGGTCGAATTTGCAAACCTGTCCAACCACAACATGACATCTTATCCCCTCATTTACCTTTTATTTGTTTACCACTGTGGTCTGGATGGTCTTTCCTAAATGGCCACATCCCTGGTTAGTGAGGGTTTCAGCCTTTTGTGTGCGATAGTTAACACAACATCCGTCGTTCTGTCAGTTTGTCGTTAAATGACGCGAACCACTGAAGGTGTTTGTGTTTATTTATGATTTAAATAATGATTTGCACTGGTCCGATCCTCAAAAGTCTCAGGGATAGTCTCGCTGACCACGTCCAGATCCAGTTTTACTGCTTCCCTCCAGCTCTGACCTCCACTCTGAATGGTCAGTTTCCCCTCTGGCCTCCGGCTTTGCATAAAGCCCACAGAAATCCCCAGAACAGCCTCTCTCTCTCTCTCTCTCTCTCTCTCTCTCTCTCATTTGCCTGTCACATTAAGTTGGCACCTCACTTTTTTCTGGCCCTTTAACCGCTGTGACCCACCCAAACAAATGATCTGTTCAAAGAGCACAAAGCCATTCTCATTTCCCATCAGCCTTCCGGCCTCCGTCCAGCTCCACTCTGACCCCTCATGACCCTCCTCTGCCTCCTCTTCATCCTTTGTTTCCTTCTTATGGACACTAAATCGCTCTTGGAAAAAACAAAAACATGAATAATTAATGCAGCATATCATCTCACAATCACCTGTGTGAGTTTAAATAAGCAAACCATCTCGTAAGATACATTTTAAACATGTTTTCTCTTAAATGTTCCACATTTGCATATGGATATAGTTGCATATTTCCATACGCAACTATTTGAAAGAACCCTGAGTGTGAGTGTTTTCAGTCCTTTTGTAAATCCCCAATCACGAAGCCAAGTGGTTCTTAAAGTTAGGGGCTTTTAGTCACACAAAGGCTTGATAGTGTGCCGTGAGAACTGTTAAACATACAGAAAAGCAAATAAAAACTACGTTATTTCCCTGGAAAGAAACATTGAGAAACAACAAGTCGTCAAAATCCGTCACATGACACATTTACAGTCTTACAAACATAACAGGAACAAAAACACACATGCACCTCATTGGCTGCTTTCCCTTGAGAAAAAATTAGAAGTCCTCAGTCCTTCAGTCCCTATGCACTTTATTCAAACTTCTTTTAACATTGCTGGTTCATTTTTTATATGTATTTATCAGTTTTTTTATATACATTTATCTGGGTTTTGGCTGATTGAAGAAACTGTTTTATTCCGTACAGTTGGGGAAAAATTGGTTGCACACGATCTGAACATCGTTTAATTTTTCAGTGGTCAGATTTCTGTTGGTGTGTGGCTCCTGAGGAAACCAGCTTTTACTGTTTTTAGTTTAAATAATCACTACACAGAATTATCATTAATTGACTTGAAAGCATGATATAATCTTTGGTAGAGCTGACCCGTTAGTGTTTGGGACTCCATGGTTCTGCTAAAAGCAAAAAGCGGTTGCAAATGTGCAGGCTAATTGTCTTTACACTTCTGCGCAGCCTTTTCGTGTCATACAAACTAATTGAAAAGGGTTAATACGAAAGATATTGGTCATGATAATGTGCAAATTATCAATTATTTTTAGCAAAGTGTCCGCGCCGTGTTTTTAACGTAACGCCACTTTTGCCCTGTGATCCTAATTATCTGCGATTCCCTCCTCATTACAGCCCCGATGGATGGAGGAGGAAGGAAGGAAGTTTATAATCGTGTTCAATTAGTGCTCCTTCACATTTTATCTGAGTCCCTCCACTGTGCTAATGACTTATTTGTACCAATTATTTGCTTTGCTGAGCCTGTTAACCCCTGTGCTCCCCTCAGCCGCCGTGGCTGTGAGAAGTGTTTCACACTTTCTCTTTTACAGGTATAAGAAAGCGCTTTGTTTTGTTTTTCACAAAGCGGTGAGGTTTTTATTTTGTGTATGAGACAATGGCCAAACCTTTCCTTAAAGCAGCAGTCATGCTATCATCAAAAGATAAAGAGAATCTTTGTATATCTGCACATCAACAACAAGATATTGTATTATTTTCTCATTTAAGTGGACTCAGTTTCCTCATTACACTAATCGAAACCATTCAAAAATATAAAAAATGATGAAGTTGAACTGAGTGGACTTTCTTGCAACATTCCTTCGTCCTCCTGAGTCTAAAAGCTTTTAAAATGTAAAAAGAAAAACACCACTAAACACACATCATCCTCTGGGTTTCTCTCCGTTTCAAAGAGGAATCTAAAGAAAGAATAGTTCATGTTCTTATTAGCGTTTTTCAGGCACCCTGTAGAGTCTCAGTCCTCCAGGTCGTCGTAATCTTCAGTTTAGAACTGAAGGAGCCTTTTGGATAAGTGGTAAAGCAACTTCAAGAACCCCAGTTAGAAGTCCAGTTAGCATTTAGTAACATAGGTACTGGGAACCAAAAATTCTTTGAGACACGTTTGCACCTCGTTCATAAAACTAATGAGTCAGTGCTGTTTCTGTCAACTCTGAAGGATTTCTTGGTGTTTTTGTCCTGTCTCTATGGTTTCATGTCATTTCCTGTTTTATTTTGAAAGGTACATCCCCTTGTTTCAGGTCTGCTTGTCTTCCCTGATCTCCAATTGTGTTCCCCTGGGGTTCCCTTCCCTTGTGTTTAAATAGTCTGAGTCTCTCCTTGTCTGGGGCCAGTGGAAAACCTCATAGTAATCCTTGTTTTCTGCCTTTAACCCCGTTTATGCCTCCTTTTGGAGTGATTTTATTTTGGTACTTTGTCTACAGTCTTGTTTCTGCCTCGTAAAAGTGATATTGATTTCATACTTCGTATCTTTTGCCATCCTCTGTTAAGAGTGAGATTATTTGATGCTTTTTTCATAGTTTAGTCTGCCTTGTTTTGAACTTTTCCTTGTCATCCACTCCTTGCGAATGCGCTTTTGAGTTAAAAAAATTAACATTGTTAAACTCAATCTCTGCATCTGAGTCCTGCCTGGAGTTACCATCTTGACAGTTTCTCATCCATCAGGCTGTGAAATCCTTCCATTCAGCCAAAACCAAACTTAGACACCAGTTCACATCAACCAGCAGGTTCCTGTTTATCTCCTATAGGCTGCTCAGATATACAGTCAGGAAGAAGCAGGACGGCCTCCATCAAGGTTTTGATTTAGCTTTTGCCTCAGAAGCTTTCATATCTGCCTCTAGATCAGTGTTTTTCAACCACTGTGCCTCGGTACACTAGTGTGCCGCGAGTGATGGTCAGGTGTGCCGTAGAAAATCATCCTATTTCACCTCATTGGTCTAAAAAGATTTTTTGATAAGGAATTAATTATCTGTAAATAATTTTTGAGTGTCTGCTGTACAAGTGACTGGTGGCGTAATCATGTAATAACTCCTTATGACTAGATTTTGTATATAATTTTGCATATTGAAGTGGACATGTTAAGTGCAATTTGAAAGAAGAAATATATAAAATATGATAAAAATACATTTTTGTGTTTATTTGATTCCTATTCAAGACACTTAAAATAAGATAAGAATAAAATAAGAATAACTATAGTGTTACTATAGGCGGCTACAGATTTGTTTGACATTTTTGGTTGGTGGTGTGCCTCGAGATTTTTTCAATGAAAAAATGTACCTTGGGTCAAAAAAGGTTGAAAAACACTGCTCTAGACCCTACTAAAAATGAACAAATAAATAAAAAAAACCCTCCCGTTTAAGCGTCGCTCTGCGCGATCAAAGATCAAGGGAGAAGCTTTTGTAACAGTAAAAGCATTGAATTATACATAACAATACCAAAAACTCCGCACACTAACACACACACACACACACACACACACACACACACACTGAAAACCTCGGTCCAATTTGAGACGCTGATCCTGAGTGGACCCTTGTGTCGTGCGGAGGCTGATGAAAGCGTCTCATCTTGAGGACGGGTCGGACCCTGAAAGCTTTCAAAAGGACCCAAAGGACCTCTGGGAGCTCTCTGCCTGCACAAAACCTCCTTTAATCTCCCCCCGATATCCGCCAACACTCGGTTATCCGGCCACGGATGGAGAGGGCCTCTTGTTTTTCATGTTTGGGAGTTTGGTTCAGCTGCCATCACACAGAAAGAGAGAGCTGTGGAGGATGTAACGGGGGAACGAGGAAGAAGAAGGAGAAGAAGATGAAAACGTAAAAGTCCTGTCTCCGGGAGAGAGGAGAAGAAAAAAATGCTCGTCGTTTTTTGTTCCTCGTCTCCTCTCGCCGTACTGAGAAAGGAAAGTGAAATCCATCCGGCGGCTGTCACCTACAGGAGTGTTTTTCAACCTTTTTTTTTAGCCCAAAGTACATTTTTTCATTGAAAAAATCACGAGGCACACCAACCAAAAATGTTAAACAAATCTGTAGCCGCCTATAGTAACACTATAGTTATTCTTATCTTATTCTTGTCTTATCTTAAGTGTCTTGAATAGGAATCAAATAAGAAAATATTATTTTTATCATATTTTATATTTCTTATTTAAAATTGGACTTAACATGTCCATTTCAATATGCAAAATTATACACAAAATCTAGTCATAAGGAATTATTACATGATTACGCCACCAGTCACTAGTACAGCACAGACACTGAAAAATGGCATTTTTTTAGAACAGTTAGGTGAACTAGGATTATTTTCTACGGCACACCTGACCATCACACTAGTGTACGGAGGCACAGTGGTTGAAAAACACTGACCTAGAGGAGTGAAAACCCAGACGAGGAGAGAGGCTGAGCGACCCCGAAAAGCACTCGCCTGTCAAAGAGAACAAAAACCAGAGTGGTTAGAAGCGTTTAGCAGAGTCGGAGGCCAATGCTGACGGTCATCAGGGCTAAAAACCACCTTTAGATCAAACTTTGTTCTGTCGCGTTTTGGCCTAAGGCTTTGAGGATTAAATATAATGTAAATTCATATACAGTGGGGGAAATAAGTATTTGACCCCTTGCTGATTTTGCAGGTTTGCCCACTTACAAAGAATGCAACGATCTATAACTTTAATCATATGTACATTCTAACAGTGAAAGACAGAATCCCAAAGAAAATTCCAGAAAATCACATCATATGAATTTATAAAAATTATAACCATCTGATGAGGAAAAATAAGCATTCTTTGTAAGTGGGCAAACCTGCAAAATCAGCAAGGGGTCAAATACTTATTTCCCCCACTGTAATAGCTGGTATAGGAGGTCTGTGCATAGTTTTCTTTGGCTTGATGTGTCCCCACACTGTCTGCCCCTTTTATTGTCCAGCTGTGGTCAGATAAGGGTCACATGAGCCAAGAATTTTTTTTTAACCATAGAGAAAATGGATTAGAAAATCATCTTGTTTGATCAGGTTTTTATGTTTGAAGAAAACCCTGTTTTTCTTGTGTCTGTCATAACTTTTCTGAGGACTTGTTTTAGAATCTGTAAAGACTTATTCGGAAAAATCTGAAGCTAAACTCAAATCTCCACAGCTTTAATTATGAATTGAGTTACTTTGGGTCGGTTCTGAATTAAAAAGGATGCTTTTCTTGCCGTCGTTTTGTTCTTTCCTTTTCTGTTTTTGTTTAAATGTTCACAAATACCTAATAAACATAATTCATTAAAAAAAAGGATGCTTTCTTTACTCGTGAGTTTCCAGCTCTTTTATGGATCTGTGTGTTTCTGCTCTCATGCACATCACTTTTTTCCAATAACACCGATTCGTTCTTACAAATGTGCGACCTGGACTGAGGCCTAACGCGTCCCCCCGTGTGTGTTGGCGTTTTCGGCCATATGCACGCCGCCGAAATAACCCCGAACCTTTTCCCCGCCCCCCCCCTCCTCTCACAGGCACAGTCAGAAATCACAGCTCCCCCACAGAAAGTGAAAATGAATGTGCTCACCTCCTGCTGTGGGATCGGAGATGGTGATGGTGGTGAGTCAGTCTGATGGGATTCACACGCATGAAAAAAGGACGTGTCGGGAATGTTGGATTAAAGGCGTCGTTATAAAATGTGTTTGTGAACCGGTGACATCAGCGCGGGGCTTTTTTATCCGCTCGCGGTGTTTGGTAACGATGAAAAAAAAGACACAAAATCTCCCAAGTAGCGTCTTGTTCTGAGATGTGTGTGTGTGTGTGGGAGTGTGTAAAACATGAGTGGGACCGAATGTGTTGGTGCTGGTTGTGCGATTCGGGTGAAGAAAGATAGTCGTCACTTACTTTGTGTATGTGTGTGTGCATGAAAGTGTCTTTTTGATCCTCAGATTGACCTACTCGGTACTATCCAAACGTGGAGTGCTTAAGAAAACTCAAATGTCTCTTCTCTTAAAGATGCTGTTAATCTTTTAAAGCCTGATCCAAGAAAAATAGGAAGAATATTGGATTTTTTTTAGTCTGAAGTGTTTTTTTGGCCCCTCAACAACATATTAAGAAAAAAAAACTGAAATTATTTTGATGGAATTAGCGTGCAATAAGTCAAAAATATATTTTGGTGCAGTCTTCTACTGGCTGTTATCAGGTATATCTGAATGTGTACAACAGGGGTTTGAGCAAAGCTTTTACCACTGAATGATGCAATAAGTCTCAGATCCAAAAGACTTCCGAAATCGGATCAAATATGATACATATGGCATTATAGGATTAAAGACGTAAAGTAAAACCAAACACACATTTTGAAACCTTCTTGTGAACAATGAGGAAAATATAACCGCGTTGAATTATTAGCTACAAATAATTTCCTAATTACCCAAGTGGCAGTAATCCTAAACCCTTCAGATAAGAGATTGAACAATTTCAGGATCTAAGAAGTCATCCAGTCGCTCTTATTCAAGCATTAAGTGTTAGTTTCTCAGTTTTGAGACTAACTTAAACGTCTGTTCTGATATAAAACTGCATCTCTTCTCATGTTTGCTCATACCAGAGACCTGAAGTTCTCCACATGTTTCTACATGCTGATGGGATTTAGCATGCATGCTTCTCATTACTATAAGTCCATAATTCAATTTCCACCTTAGAGCAGAGAAATAGAACTTTGTGCCCACATGTTAGCTTTAGCTTCCCAGATTCTCCAGAACGTCACACATTTGTAAAATGAGCTTCTCAGGACTGCTGCTCCTCAACAACAGGAGACATACAGGAATTAGACTTTTCCAGGGATGAAGGAAATGTTTTCCTGTTCCAACACATGATTCAAGTTCTTAGGACGGTCTTTATACTCTGCAGAAGCCAGATGAACCCATTTATATTCTCAAGAAACCTGGAAAACCTTTAGACATTCCACTAGCAATGCGCTGAATGAGGGAGGCTAATTGCAAAAAGCTGATTTTCAGAAAAATAAATGGTCCTAAAGGGCAATTCCAAATAAATCCAATAAAACTGATCAATCATCCGGCCCTCATATTGGGATTAATTAAAGGGGGTCAGTGTTTTATGGACTTTCTTCAACAAGCAGTGTGACAAAGCTGGAAAACGAGCCCCAAACACGAACCCATCACAAAAAAAAAGCTAATTCCTGGTTTCGCTCTTTCGGGTTTAAACACACCGCACACGTAAAGCCAAAAACACTCATTTGTTGTCATGCTTACAACCCCATCAAAAAACGATGCGGGGCTAGAACCCAGAAATCCACATGTTGAACTTTTGCTTTAATTTCTGGACACAACGGCAGCCGAAACTCTGAAATTCTAGAAAAAAAACAGTTTTATTGATTTATTAACAACTGTATGTTTGTTTTCAGTGCCGACAGCATTTGCTACATACTTTGGTGTGATTCAGAGCTGCTTTTCGCCCCTTTTATCTCCTCGTGGTAAATGCTGCCAGGGTCAGGAGCACAGTGTACAAACCAGAATTATTCACCCCCCCCTCGTCTCAGTTTTTCTAACTCAAGTATTTCTGTCGTCTACGTCTAAAAACGCGCTTCCCCTCCGTCCTCGCGAGCATTTACAGGCACTGAGCGTTTCCACGGAGACAGCCCGCCCGCCTCCTCTTCACAGCCGGAGAAAACACGTTCCAGGAATATTCAGATACAAAAAGGCAGAGGGAATCCGATGGCACCAGCCGGACTGTCCGAGTTCAGTCTAACTAAAAAAAAAAAAAAAAAAAATCAACATCGTTACGTCAAGTTAGAAGTTCAGTTTGTGGCTGTCGCAACGCTCTGCTCCCAAAGTCCAACGCGGTAGAAGCAGAGCACAGGCAGACCAGGACACTTTGTACACCGTTTGTTTTTTTTTTCTCTATACAGAAGTAAATTTACATCCATCTCTTCCCGTTTGCGTCCACAGTGGTCCAGTCAGAGTTACGGATCCATCCGCGGTCCGGGGGGAGTGGGCCGATTTAAAACATCCAGGAAGGAATCGGCCCCCCACGTGTGCTTTAAGGGTATCAAAAAGGTTCTGTCTTTGTTCTGAACTCAGATGTCGTGGACATGAGAGGGTGGGCCCAAAAACATTAACCACAAATACACCCAGGACGTGAAAATATATATATATATATATATATATTCTTATATATAAAATGTTTTTATTTAATCCAATATGTACACTTTGCACAGGCTGTCTGGGAGTTAGTTTCTCAAGAAATGAAGCTCCGGTTTACATCCAAATACTTCGACGGGGGAAGGGGGGCGGAAACAAACTTCAGGACTCACGAAACATGCCACCCAAAAAAAAATAAAAAATAAATCCAGTACATCCTTCGGCCGACGCGCTCCGGTCCCCACAAACAGCCTTCAGTCCGTCTGGAGAAGCTTCAGTCTGCGTTTGGTCGAAGGATAAAAATCCACCCGGGAGTGCGGACGCTAGTAGATGACCTCGTAGACGGTGGCCTTCTTATCGCCGGAGCCCGTCACGATGTATTTGTCATCGGCCGAGATGTCGCAGCTCAGGACGGAGGACGACTCCTTCGACTGGGGAGGAAACCAGAGTCACTTCAGTTAAAGAGTCATATTATACCCTATTTCAACAAGTTAAACTAGTTCCCTGGTGTCCTGATGTAATGTCTGTGACAAGCTTTGGTCAAAATCCCATAAGGATGAAGCCCAATAGCAGTTCAGTCCCCCTGCCTAACCCTAACCCTAACCCTAACCCTAACCCAAAACAGCCCCGTTCAGAGCGCTCGCTTTGGAGTGCCTGTCTCTTTAAATGCAAATGAGACACAGCCAATCCACCCACTTCTTCCGGGGCGTGTGCCCACGTCGGCACGCTAACGCTACCATGCTAACGCTACCATGCTAACGCTACCATGCTAACGCTACCATGCTAACGCTACCATGCTAACGCTACCATGCTAACGCTACCATGCTAACGCTACCATGCTAACGCTCAAGCTACCACGACGTCCGCCACAGATGGGGGAGTAAGCTGAGGGGGAGGGCAACATGCAGGTGAAAGGCTGGAATATTATAATGAGCTAGAGCTAATGACGTCAGAAACTACCCACTCCTGAAACCTCCTGATTTATCTCCTGGATTCAGACTGAGGCAGCCCACAAAAACATGACCGAGTCCTTTTTTTCACACTTTGCCTGCTGATAGGCCCTCCACAGTCCCAAATGTACATAATCAAACGATTAAAAACTTGGTTTTGGATGATATGTCCCCTTTAAAAGGTCACAGTTTAAGCTTATATCTGGCAAAACTCTGACCAGGACCCATAAACTAAGTTTACTACTCTGAGGAGGACAAACTCAGGATGAGGGAGTTAAATACCATTATGTCAAATCTACCATTTAAAAACAGAGAATATGTGGTGTGGGGGGTCTTTTCATGAGGTCTCCATGTGTGAATGAACCTGGGTTACCTGGAATATGCTGGCTCCATAGGGAGTCCTCCATGCGTTCAGCAGGTTGTCCTTCCCTGTGCTCACAAACCATTTACCTGCAGACAGAAATCACACATGTAACGTGGCGTCATTTCCTTTAATTAGGAACAGCAGCAGCTCTGATGTTTAACGGGAGCTCCTCTTTATGATTAATCAGAGAGCTTGGTACACTTTTCCATTTTAGCTGATAAGCTCCAACCCCTTCCCACCACACAATGCCCCGAATCACTTTAGCCACCAAAAGTCTCATTTCAAAAGTAAGTAAGCAAGCAAGTAAGTGTATTTATTATTTAACCTGATAGATATATACGCGTATATATATTTTTCTACTATATATTTTTCTTATACTCATTTATTAGGCTTCCTAAAGCAGAACCTAAATGCAAATTCCATTCCACAAACATGTAAATGTGAGCTTGAATGATTCCTTAAATTATTCAATTTACTCTCAATATGAAGGGCGCTCATAGCCCAATATTTCCCTCTTCATTAGTGTTAAAACCCAGAGATTAGAAGAAAAAATAAACCATCATGTACTTATGAGGAGGAGTTCCAATATTTAAACAAGTTGTCTCTGGACTAAGCTGACTTGGATCCCTTGGGGTAAACTAGGTGGCATTTAGTGAAAGCTTTTTAACTCATTGGCTGCCAAAGACGTCTATAGACGTGTTTTATGTTTTTCAACGAGAGTGGCTGGGGGACGATCTGCTAAAGCTTGTCCCTAAACATAAGGCTTCTAGACAGAATATGTAGTAACAAATTGACCCTCTAGGTAGCTGTGCTACTTTTGATGGGAGATGAGCATAGACTGTAGGCAAATAAGAAAAAGGTAACGGTTCGCTATGCGAGAAATGGCGCCGATGAGACGCAAGTCGAGGAAGAACGGAATAAGGCAGAAACAATTTTTTTTTCCTGATGAAAGAAGAGAGTCTACTCTTTCTTTTGGTGTGTTCGGTATTTACATAGTCATAGCACAAACTATTCTGTGGCTCTGGAAAAATCTCTGTTCTGAAAATGGCTGGCAGTCAATGAGTTAAAAAGTATTTTCGGTCAAAAATACGTGACTTTGACTCACCGCAGTAGGCGAACTTGAGCGACAGCACGCAGCTCTCGTGCAGGTGCAGCTGGTATTTGTCGGGTTTGGTGTGGTGCAGCACCTCCACGTTGCTGCTCTCCATGCCCACAGCCAGCCACTCCCCGGTGGGACAGTAGCCCAGAGAGAAGATCTGTGAGGGGGCACAGCAACCACCGGTCAGAGCAGGGATGTCAACGTCAAACACACCCAGGGCCAAAAAAACAAATTTGCTACAAGCCGAGGGCCGGACTGGTTCAATGTTTATTAAAACATATCGAAACGATTGCACATAGCCTATTGAACCAAGACCTAACAGTGTATTCACACATATTCACAATGATTAAATGAATATGGCAATATTTTGTTATGGCTCTGTCGGTAACTTCAAGGGAAAACATTTTCAACAGCCAAACAGCAAAAAATTAAATTGTTTTTAAAAACAAAATGTGTTTCTTAATATCAACATAAATGCATAAATAAAAGTGCATGCATTATAAACTGAAAATGTATTATTGTGCTGCTCTATGATCTACCGATCACTGCTTTCAAATAGTAAAATTTAAAAAATAAATCAAATCAGTTGTATTCTTTCTCATGGCTCTTATCTGCAATTTTCCCTGAGTCCATTCAACTGAAAAATAAATATAAATAAATAAAATACAAAAATTTATGGCACCATAAAGCAGCCTCACTTTGTGATTTAGCACATGTGAACATAGCCTGTCTGGACTTAAGGCCTCGTTTTAATTCTTCCACCTTCTGTAGCTTTTGTTCATATTCCATATTCTTGTCTTTGTCTGTGTGTTTCTTAAACGTTTGATAGTGCCTTCTTAAATTAAATTCTTTCATTACAGCCACACTTTCTCCACACAGAAGACACACAGGTTTGCCTTTTACCTCCGTAAACATGTCCTCTGCCTCCCACCTGGCCTAAACCCCCTGTTCTCAGCGTCCATCTTATGTTTAGTCATTTTTGAGGAAGGGGTATCAAAAACTCGATCTCTGCTCTGAACGAACAAAGCCATTTGTGAGCGCTGCAGTGACTTCGCGGGCTACCGTTGCATTGTGGGAAATGTAGTGTTGGTGCGTGCAAAACACCAGCGGGTGGCTGTTGCCTGCGGGCCGGTTATAATAATATTTCAATATCATCCAGGGGGCCATAGATGATCAATTCCGGCCCGCGGGCCTTGAATTTGACATATGTGCGTTAGGGGTGGGACGGTTCACAAAATCCACGGTTCGGTTCGCTTAACGGTTTCGTGGTCACGGTTTTCGGTTCGGTTCGGTATATGTTGATTGTTAGGAAAATCTATTATGTCTTATATAGTCGGGTTAAAACTGAAAGAAAAAAGTAGTCTGACATTTGATACATTATTGTGACAGTCTTAGGTTAAAAGTAGGTGAGATTCTGGCATTGCCAGAGAGGAAACAGTGCTAATTCCAACATGTGCATGTACTCTAAATGCAAAGTGGTCCATACAGCAGACCTATAAACTGCTTTTGGCGCGTTGGATTTTTATCAGCTACGCCGCTTCGCTTCTTCTTCTTGTTTCCTACTGGTGGTTGGCTTTGGGCGCAGTAGCGCCCCCTTCTGCTCTGGAGTGTAAACGCTTCCCTCTGAGAAAAAGGAGCAGCATGAACCGAACGCAACACACGCGAATTGAACCGAGACAGAACCCAACGGTTCGGACGGTTTTCAGAAACCGTCCCATCCCTAATGTGCGTCAGAGGGATGGGTCGGGGGGGGGTTTGTTTATTCTCCCGGGTCCCTGGGTCTCACCTGAGAGGTGAAGTCGTGCTGCTGCAGCTGCCGGCCCTCCCTCAGGTCCCAGGAGCGCACCGTGTTGTCCAGACCTCCGGTCCACAGCTTCGTCCCGTCGTGGGAGATGTCGATGCAGCTGGCCCCGTCCGTGTGGCCCTGGAACTGCCTAAAACAGGAGGGGGACCCAGAGTTTAACGGTGCTCCCCTGAGCTGCTGCTTCCTCTGGCTGAGGCCTGCAGGAGCCTCGAATGGATGTCCGACTCCGCCCACATCCAAGTCGGCCATTTTGATTAGGTCACGTGACTAGCAGCTTTCTGAGGTGGGAATGAAACTCTACTGTCTATACGAAATCGGAAGACAAACGATGTCCTAACCCTAACCCTAAAGCTAACCCTAAACTTAACCCTAAACCTAAAGCTAACCCTAAACTTAACCCTGACCCTAAACCTGACCCTAACCCTGACCCTAAACCTAACCCTAAACCTAACCCTAATCCTAACCCTGACCCTAACCCTAAACCTAACCCTAACCCTGACCATAACCATAACCCTGACCCTAACCATAATTCTAACCCTAACCCTGACCCTCCAGCCTTCAAAATAGTGAGAAATTAATATTTTTTGGTTAAACTAGTTTGGACTTATTGTACAAAACTATTTAACATCCACTATTTTAACATAATATAATGTATAGAGTTGAATTCAGTGTTTGCTAGATTAATTTCAATATTTTTAAATTAATGTCTATATTGCCACGAAGCAATTACGATTTCCTTTCTTGGGATCTTCCTATTGGTGACGTAATCAAAATGTCCGCCTTGGATTTGGGTTGGATCTCCATCCCTGGCTTCCTGCAGCGATATGCGCTTTGCTCCGTTTGCCACCGGCGACTCCCTCTCCCTTGCAGAGCACTGACCTGACCAGGGTCTGGTTGTGCAGGTCCCAGACGGCGATGTTCCCGTCGGAGCAGCAGGAGAAGCAGACCTTGGCGTCGGGGCTGATGGCGAGCGCGTAGCAGGCGGGGGCGGAGGAGGTGAGCTCCGCCTTGATGCGCGGCGTCTGCGAGGCCAGGTCCCAGATGGTCAGCGTGCTGGCCTCGCCGCCCACGATCAGGGTGCGGCCGTCGGGCAGCAGCTTGCAGGAGCGGATGTAATTGTCCCTGTTCTGGAGCAGATAAACAAAAAAACAAAAATTGAATTGAATTGAAATGAATTGAATACACTTTATTGATCTCCAGGGAGAAATTTACTTCCAGTACAGCCCGAGACCAAGATCAAACAAACAAAACACAGAGTAGGGTTGTCACGATACTAAAATTTCGAACTCGATACCGATACTCAGCAAAGTACTCGATACTCGATACCATTTTCGATACCACAAGGATAAAAACAATTACCCCAAAATTTAACTGAATTTTGTCTTTCATTTCAAACTGACCTGTTACTGATGTTATCGTGACTGGTGGCCCACTTTAATGACCCTAACCCTAACCCTCCAGCCTTCATAATTGTGAGAAATAAATATTTTTTGGTTAAAGGTGTTTGGACTCATTGTACAAACCTATTTAACATCCACTATTTTAACATAATATTATGTATAGAGTTTAATTCAGTGTTTGCAAGATTCATTTCACTATTTTTAAATTAATATCTATATTGCCATGAAGCAATTAGGATTTTCTTGCCTGGGATCTTCCTATTGGTGATGTAATCAAAATGGCCGACTTGGATGTGGGCGGAGTTGGATATGTACTTGATTAATGATAGCATGTTATTATTAGCCATTAGCCGCAGCTAGCAAGGCTAACGTCTTGTTAATGATCATAAACAACGTAAATAAATACATAAATAAATCAGAGAGAAGGGGGGCAGCGACGGCAGGTCAACGTCGCGCGGTGGTATAGATACTTTTGAAAATGAGTATCGTATCCGGATACAACCTTTTCGTATCGATACTTTTTGGAGTATCTATACTTTTGACAACCCTAGTTGGAGGGAAGGGGAAAGGTAACAGCGAGGCAGTGAGTCCAAGGAATGCATGAATCCGTCACCTCTGATGAATCGGCCCTTTTTCCACAGTAAAAAAACGGGACGAGATCCGAAATCCGCCATAGCTCACTGCTTTTACTCTGAGAGTGTTTCCTTGACAAGTGAAGATGTGAGTGTCAGCTTTAATAAGCCGGGCTGCAGGCTCCACGGAGCAGGGAGACGGATCCGCAGCCACGGAGATGAAACTGCCCTCTGATAGCTTTATAAAAGCAAACGGCACTCTGGACACACCTTAAGGGTGTAAGAAGGCCGTATGAGCCGAGCGGCGTGAGGCCGCGGAATCAAAATGAGAAACGAGAGGCAGTTTGAAGAAAGTAATGAGCTGGGTAATGGCAGACAGGCTCGGCCAATCAGAACACCATTACTCAGCAGGACTTTTTCCCACCGCGCAGCACCGAGACACTCGCTGAATTATTTACATCTCCGTGTGGCTCCGTGCTGCGGCTACACACAAAACTATTAACGGAGACTTTTCGGAGACCTCAAGAGTGGTTTTTTTTCTCTTTTTTTCAAGCATTTCTTTATTACGGTTTTGTTCTTTTACATAAACACACAACAACCCCAAACCCACGGCACAAACTGAAATAATAAAGAAAGTCTCCCTATGTTCACCAATTTTGGTGCAAAATCCTCTGAATATTAGAAAAATGGTCAGGTTCTCCCTGCTTGCTGACCCCAGACTTTTCTTACTTGTAGACCAGTCAGTGGTACCAAGCATATCAAAACATTCACTGTGGTAAAACTTTGCTGTATCACAGCGTTAAGAATTATTTTACGTAATTGGAAATGTGTAAATTGTGTGGAATCAAAAGACTGGGTCAATGCTGTAATAGAAGCAGCCTCCTATGAGAGTCTGCTGGAAAGGCTGAATGATGAGAAACGAAAGATCTGCGATGATTTCTGGGTAAACATGAAAGGGACATGAAGTGTATCTGATGACAGCTTTTATATTTCTGTTTCTATTTATTATCATTTTATATTTTCTGGACCATATTTTCTGTTGGAGATGTCAGGGTGGCGTATAGGGAAACTATGTACAATAGGACAATGTAACATACGATGTGGACCTTTTTTGTGTGTGTTTAAAGTTTGATCAATAAAAAAAGTTGAATTGAAAGTTGAATTTCAAAAAAAAGAAAAAGAAAAAGAAAGCCTCCCCTAAAGCAAGAGCTCCATAAGTGTCCACCAAACATAACCGTCTAAAGTCTCATGAAGACAGACAGTCCTCACTGTGTAGTCCAAAACAACCTAAATATGTTCCAAGCTGACTCATATCTCAGTCTCAATGTCTTCAAATAAAAAAAATCAATCAGTGAAGTACTGATGAGGTTGTGGATTCTTGAAGGGGAAAAGGAAAACACACACACACACACACATAAAAGCGAGTGCGTTTAGCCTTTAGCTGCTCACCAGGCAGTCCAGCTGGGACACGGGGCTCTTGCTGCCCGGCTGGCTGATGTCCCAGATCTTGACGCAGCCTTTTCCTCCGGTGTAGACGTGCCGCGTGGGGTTGCTGATGGTGACGGCGCACACCACCTCGCCGTGGCTCAGCGTGTTGATCTGCCGGGCGTGGCGCGGGATGCCCGGGCCGATCAGCGCGTCCGGAGGGAAGGGAACGGGCTGCATCTGCCCGTCAGCGCTCACGTGGAAAGAATAAGCCCTGCGTGGGGAAAAGGAGACACTCAGCCAGAGCCGGGGAGCAGAAGGGTCAGCAGAGTCGTAATAAATGGAAATACTTACGGTTTTCCTCCAGAAATGGAAGTGAGGCTCGCCGAGAGGCCTGAAGCTCTCATGTGAGGATGGGGGTCAAACCCCGCCTGTATGGGGAGAAGATGGAAGAGAGGGAGCGTTAGCCTAAACTAAAATCTGGAACCATTCTAGCCCAGAAAATCCCTGGAAGGTAAGCTTGTCCCGATCCGATATCTGGATCGGATTGGCCGCTGATATTTGCAAAAAACTGCGTATCGGCCGGCAGGAAAAAATGCCAATCCAGACTCCAGATCCAGTTTTTTTTTTTTTTTAAAGTCCGATCCCACAAGTGCATTAGCATTAGCATTACCATCTCCTAACCCACAGGTCTGTGTCCAAACCATTAAGTTGTTATCAGAGTAAATCCCTGTTCAACATGAGTCTGACAACTAAGTAAGTAGATAAATAACTTAAACTTTTAATACATGCTCTGATAGGCCGGTAGAAAAAAGCTGGATAGAGACATCCCTACTGGAAGGTAAAGAAAACTCAACATTTGGTTAAAACTAGATAATCAAAGCCAGAAAGACTTGAAGATACACACACTGGTAAAGACGTTCCCAATGAGTTGCAGACATACTGACTAATTCGTCATTCTAGTGTTAGATTAACACATTTTAAGGGAAAAAAGAGGAGCTGTAAAACCGGGGTCTCTTACGATGGGCGAGCGGCCGTAGGCGGCGGCAGCTGCGGCGCTCATCTGGGGCGAGATGAGGCCCGGGTACACGCCCGGGCTGGTCAGGGACCCGTTCAT